ATAATTTCAATCAAGATAATTTCTAAAACATTACAAGTCGTATATCTATTTTTTTATTTATTTTTAATACTGTTTGAAATTAATAGAATAGAATGTATCTTAAATTTTTTGTATGAATTTTTTAAATAATGTTATATATATATATATATATATTTGAATGTGTTAAGTGTATATTATACATATTTTAGACTAAAGTTGATGATTATTAAAATTCATTGAGATTAAATTTAAATTTCAACGGCCGCGATAGCTATGTGATAGGGGAATTAACTATTTTTGTCATATAATTATTTATGCATTTATAAATATAATAATTTAATTTGTAAGATTTATTAATATATTGATTTGGTGTAAGCCTAAGCACATTACATTAGATATATTTTTGCAATTTAAAAATGTATATACTATGTGAATAAATATTTAAAATGAAGTATTAGATGTGCAAATGCATAGTGATATTTATGTAAGCTCTTTTATTTACTCATTAGAAAGGTTATAATTAATGTCATATTATTAGTTTGTAAATTTATAATTTAAAAAAGGCATGGAAGTAATTATGCATCATATATAATTATAACAGTTGAATTGGAAGTGTTATTAAATATTGTTTTATTTGTGTTAAATGATCTATCATTATTAAAGTTAATATAATTTTTGCATTAAAATTTATTCATTTTACATTTTAACGGCACGAAAAGGCATCTGAGGGAAAATTTCAAGAAAGTCATGTATGGGCATATCGGACATTAAATTTATGTGTCAAAGATGTACTTAGCCGGCAAAACAGATGACCTGCATACGTTTCAGACAAACATGATAGATATTCAAAATGTGAAACAAGGGGCCTACCAGTAGTAATCTGGCTGCTAAAATTTAAATTTAGACCCCACTGGGCTTAGATGGGTTGGTGGGCGTGCTTGGTTGGAAATCCCCGTCCCAAGTTTGAATCCCACGTGCATCTCATATGGCACGACAACTTAAGTGGTGAGAAAAGAACTGTAGGTCTTGCACATATGGGGTTGGTTGCTGGTAGACTCACCGAGGGATTAGTGGACATTGCCATGCGCGTCACAAGCTGACATGACAGCGGGCTAATACCCCCGTTCCAAAAAAAAAATTAAAATTTAAGCTTCAGCATTCTTAGTGTTTCTTAAAGCATCATTTTAGAATAAAAATTAAAATTTTTTAATTAGAAAGCTGTTTTAAGAAGGAATAAGAAAGCTGTCCCAAATGAAGCCTTAATCACAATAAATTTAATAAATCAAGTTTATTCTAAAATATTCATAATATATCCCTAAGTCATTCAAATTTGATTTCTTTTAACTTTAAAACAAATTTGATAAACAGACCCAATATGAGTGCCATACTTAGATTTTGATGAGTTCATAAAATTTCCAAGCTTTTTCAAAAGAATAATAAAAATGATAAGATTGGTCCAAGGAATAATAATGGCTCATTAGAATAAATAGTAGAGTTGGCAATAAAATATTAAGAACATAATCAAATAAAACAAAGGAAAAAGTAGTAAAATATGACCAAAACTTAAGTTAAAAGAGAGAGCAGAGCAGAGCAAGCAGACCTATGTCTCAATATATAGCTCAATAATGGTGCGATAAGAACTGACAATACATTCCTAAATGCATAAATAAAGCCCTGAACAATTTTTGGGAATTCTATAAAGCAGTTTTTTTTTATTTTGGTTTACTTTCCAACGCTACTTTGGACTATTTTTGATCCATCTGAATACCATAAAAGTTCATAAGAAACAAAAAATCAAAAAGCAGAAACACTACTAAAATTATCCAACAGCAGCTTCTTGAAGTGAGTGAGAAAAAGCAGAAACAAACAAGCCCCATATCCATCACCCAATCTATGAATCTACCAAAGTAAAATTTTAATTAAAATGTATAGAACTACATAAAAATGACCACATAAATTATTATGAAGACACAGTAGCCATCCCATGAATTGAACTGCTAACTGAACTGTAGATTTCTAACATGAAATGAGAACAAAATTCCAATGAATAGCACTAACTGTGCATGCTGAAGACTAACAGGTTCTCTTGGTTGCATACTGCAAATCAATAGCACTTTCTAGATGTGTAAAATTGGAGTAAACAATCGCACCAAATAATTGATTCCATCTAAACCTAAATTGTAGTTTTCTAAATGATTGAACGCCAGTAATTGTTTGCTTCAATGAGTCAGTCATGGCATAAAAAGGTGCATTTTAAAAGAAATTTGAACAAGTCATTCAAAATTTTCGTAAGGCTAACAACAATCTCACAAAACATGAGCAGCTATTATCAGAGGAGGTCCACTATTATAAGCCCGGGGGGCAATTACCACCCCCCCCCCTCCCCCCCCCCCCCCCCCCACTAAAAAAAAATTATTATATGATTATTTAGGTAATTTGTCCTCCTCCATCTATTTTGTAATATTTATTACAAGGATTTTTAGACAATTGCCCCCCTAAAAATTTTAAAATAATATGGTCCTTAGGCAATTGCCTCAACACAATTATATACGTTATGTAGAGATGTTATTGTTAGGGATCCAAAAATGTCCTTACAACCAAAATTAAAAAAGGACAAAAATATCCTTACAACCAAAAATCCAAAGAGAAATATCCTTACAAAGAGAAATAGTAAAGAAAATCAAGAATATCCTTACAATCCGAACCCCGCAAGGGGGCGCTGTCCCCTTGGACCCCCTACATATCTGCGAAGCGTACAACGATCAAGGATATGAACAAATAGGGGTCAAGGGGCAGCGCCCACGAAACAAATTTTGGTTGTAAAGATATTTATGAAAAAAAAAAAACTCTATAATTTGACTTATAAGCCCCCCCCCCCCCCCCCCCCCCCAACACACACACACACACACTCAATATTTGCTTCCTAATTTAATTGGTCAGTACATGTTTTCTCCACATATAGTGTATTTATTTATGACTCACGATCATATTCTCCATTAGATTCTTCTCTATGCAGATCAATCAACGCATAAGGAAATGGAGCTTACAATAAAAAAATTATGATTAATATTTGCCAATGTTCATTAATTTGTTGTTTAAAAAGCGACAAAGCCTCCTAACAGATGCAAAAGAGAGAAATATAGAAACTACTTTAGCACTTTTACCAGGACCTAAGACAGAGCTTATAGTAGAAAAGGTAGCTAAACAGAGGAAAGATAAAGTTAACCTTAAATAGGTTTGGAAGACTTGGGCTTCTTTGCAGGTCGATTTTCAGCATTGTGAATGTACGATTCAACGTTGATATTGTCATGTTTTTCGTGGTTCTTAAATTCCTTAGCCTTTTCCTGCATTTGAGGAAAGTAAGGCAATTCAGTAAAAACTTCGGGTTGAGCAGGCATGTTCAACAAATACATTAGAGCTTTCCAAAAGGATTAAAGTAGATGGATAAGCAAACAATAGTATAATCAAGTGAGCAGTTAAAATTTGCGAAAAAAAAAAAATGTTCATGAGATAATTATAAAAATTAAGATTTCTTTAATAGGGTGTTTATAATTTATCAACTGTAGCTGGAGTCTACATGAGAGAAAGTGCAAAACAAAACCCATTAAAAGTTTTTATAAATAAACCCTCGCAATACCTTGATTGAATTTTAGGAAACCCTAAATCTTTTTTAGTCTGCAGTTTTGGAGGCTTGCTCTGCAGGAAGACCCCAATGGCAATATTAGATTTGTGCTGTGAAACATAAACGAAGAGCTGTGGAAAATCCCCCAATAGGTAGGATTTTCAGATCCAATTCTCCCTCTATTCATCCATGATATTTTGTTATTTAAAGTAAATATGCTTATAAACTTTTTGGGCTATGGATCAATGGAGCAAACCTCTTGATTTAGAACTAAAATTAAGAAATAGGATTTGTGATAGAGCCTCTTATATAACGGGAATAGCCAACAGCAAGGAGCAAAGGTGAATGGTCCACCATCCTTTCCATCACTCCTATGATTGAGAGTTTTTCAAATGAGAAAATATGGCAGGGTTACGTAACATTAGATTTATATTATGTTCTGGCTTCTTAGCCTATTCTCAATTTTATAATACGCGTAATTTTTTTTGCAATACAAAACTTCAATAATCTATATGTATCAACAACATGAATAAGAAGCATTTAGCCCAGTATGTGGTATTTCAATAATCTATATATATCCTTAAATGAATAGAGATTCCAAATGAAAAAAAAAATTACTAGAAACATTCGTACGAGAACCCTTTTATAATATTTTTGCAACCTTTAAAATTTTTTTTCATTTGGAAATTGTGCTTAGATTTCAATGTAAAAGTTTATATGTATTGGCTCATACTATTTAAAATGATAAATTATAAATATCCCTAAGGTATAAACTATGCTTCACATCGACCCACATAAACACTACACTTAGGTCCCTAACCCTTTCTGAAATTTCATGCAAGTCCCTCAACTAGTTTCCAATCTTCAACTTGGCACTCATAACCCATTGTTATAAGTTTCGAGAATGCGGCCTATAACTGAATGTTAAATATTTTATCCGACCATAATGTTCTTCCCAACTTCTTAGAAAATTGAAAAAGGCAAACATTAGAGTAATATATTGTGAATTCTCATTAGAAAATAAGAAAAGATTTATACCAAAAAAAAATGCAAGCCAAAAAATCATTGACAAATATAAAAGCTAGAGCCTTCAAAAAATTTGACATGCGAGCAAAAAAATAAAACTAAAATAGAATGCGAGGAAAAAAAAATAAAACTTCAATAGAAAAAGGAAAATGGATTAAACTGTGAATCCACTTCAAAACATTAGACAAGAACAAAAACTCAAATGATGCAAATCATAGCTCTTAACCAATGAGCATAGCTCATGTGCCAGTGATAACATCCACAAGTGCAAGGTAGGGGTTGACTGAGCGAGGGGCTCCAAGTAAGAAAAATCTCAACAGATTATAAGAAAATCCTACACAAATACATACCAAAAATCCAAAAGTAGGGACAAGAATGATGGGGGAATCAACATAATTAACTCAATTTAAAATCCACTTGCATCGGATATGAGAACATCCTTATGTTTATGATGAAATGCTGCAATAGTTACGATGTCATCCTTGTTTTTATAGTGTTCCATGGTTTAAAATTGCGCAATATGAGGCTCGCCTTGAGGCCCGCCTTTGCGCATTTCTAGTAAAAAGTGCCTCGATGCTTACGCCTCGAGTTTTTTTAATGAGTCTTGCGCCTCAATTTGGTTGAGGCCCGCCTCGCCTCACCTCACTGGCATAAGACTTACACCTCTCGCTATATATATTAAAACTTACATAAATCTTGAAGTAAATGCCCGACATTGGACTCTATAGGAGAGGAGGAAGGGGAGAGAGCAGCTCACCATAATGATGATTCAAATGAAGAACCTCTTAGTGATGACAGTGCTGATGACTTATAAGTTCTTATGTGATATGTCATTGTTATTTATTTTTGGAAATTGAATTATATGTTAATGAAAATAATACTAGGATTTGGGAAAGATAGAATTTTGAGTTGAACTATATTTCTTGTTATCTTATTATTGAGATATTTTGATTTCACTTCATAACTTATGTTTTTTTATATTTTATATTATTCACTCATTAGTATATAAAAAATTTATCATTTTATGTTTACGCAATCTTTTGATTTTGAGGCTTACGCCTCAAAACGTCTTAAGGCTTACGCCTCGCCTCACAAATGAAAAACACCTCAATACCCGAATACGCAATTTTAAACATTGTAGTTTTCAAGATGTATATAATCACTGTTATGGGGTGTGCATGAAATAATGTGAAATATATTTGTTCGATGTAGATATGTTAACTCAGGGGAGGATAATATGATCTTTTCAGGTGTTAGTTAGAATAACAATTGTAGCCAACGTTGACAAGCAATTCCCTTAGGGATTCAGTAAGCCACAAGGTGTATGATAGGAAATAGTTACCTCCAAGCAAAAAATCTGCTGTCTTCAGATGAAAAACAGCAATTGAGCAGCAACAACTTGAGAAAAATTGTAGAATTCTGAGAGAAACGCGATAGATTCAACTAAACAACAAAGAAAAACAGCAATGATACAACTTTCTTTAATTTGAGAGGAAGAAACGACTCTAAGAATCTCTAGCCAAACGACTAGAGCCCAAGCACCCAAGAGATCTCAATTTTTTGTTCTAATTCAAGATGATCCCCAAACCCTAACAAGAGAGACTAGTTAAAGCAAAAAGGAACATTATATTATCCATAAACAGCCCCTAATTCAAATTTTTCCTCTCAAACAGTGTTTAATTAAGCCTTGGGCCCCACCAAAACTTCCGCCCCCCTCTAATGTCCGCCCCTCCCTGTTTTGGACCGACAAGTGTAAACAAGAACCGGTCCAGGTCAAACATTACCCCCTTCCCAAAGACTCACCTTGTCCTCAAGGAGAAATGAAGGAAACTGATATTTCACACTCTCATACGGTTCCCAAGTAGCATCAAATTCAGGAAGGTCTCTCCACCTAATAAGCACTTCTTTGTTTCTCTTTTTATCTGATATGACCCCTCGTAGCTCCAGTGGTTCCAATATTACTTCCAACTCCTCTATAAGTGTAGCTGGCAAATTCATACTAGCTGCATGCTCCCCTAGAGCTCTTCTCAATTGCGAAACATAGTTTATGACTCCTTTTAAAGTGCTTTATGGAAGAGACCCCGCACACAAAATTGTTAGTCATCTGAGAAGCAGAATGGTACGAAGTATTGTACCAATACTCAACCCACGCTAACAATTTTGCCCAAATCCGCGGTGTTTCAGTAGTAAAACACCTCAAATAAGTCTCCAAACTTCAGTTTACCACCTCTGTTTTTCCGTCTGTCTGTTGATGGTAGGCGATGCTTCTCTTAAGAACAGTACCTTGCAACCTGAACAGTTCCCTCCAAAACTAGCTGAGGAAAACTTTGTCTCGATCTAACACAATCAACTCAAGAATCCCATGCAGTCAAAACACTTTCCTGATGAATGTTGCCGCCACTAACACTGTGGTGTATGGATGTCGTAAGAGTATGAAATGTGCATACTTACTAACTCTGTCAACCACCACCATGATGATTGTGTACCCCTCCAATCATGGTAGGCCATCGATGAAATCCATGGACACTTCCTCCCATACTTTGTTTGGAAGTGTCAAGGGTTGTAGTAGTCTTCCTGAAGCCATTGTCATGCATTTGTTTCTCTAACACACTTCACACTTCACCACCATCTCCTCAACATCATTATGCATCCTCTTCTAGTAAAGCTCAGCCACCAGCCTCCTATATGTCTTCTCCCCAGAATGGCCTCCAACTACACTGTCATTGAACTCCTTCAGCAAGTGGGGGATATGTATGGAAGTTTGTGGCATCACAAACCTCCCTTGATGCAACAGTCTCTCCCCCTCAAGATAGTACCATGGATGGCTACTCTAATCTTCCTCAACTCCTCCCTAATCTTCCTCAACTCCTCAGTCTGCATACTTTCTTCCTTGATGGCCCCCCAGTCTACCATCAGTGATATTGAAACTGCCAACTCCTGAACCTCTCCAACACACCTTGATAAGGCATTAACTGCTTTATTTTTCAAACCAGGCTTGTACTGAATCTAAAAATCATAGCCTAATAGTTTGGACAACTATCTCTGATGCTCCCCAGTCACCATCCTTTGCTCTAACAAGTACTTCAAGCTCTTATGATCCGTTCGAAAAATGAAAAGCCTGTCCAGCAGGTAAGGGCGTCATTTCTAAATGGACAAAACAATAGCCATCAGTTCCCTCTCATACACCGACTTCAACCTGGCCCTGGTGGACAGGACTTGACTAAAGTATGCTATAGGCTTGGGATTCTGCATGAGTACTACCACGAACCCATATTCGGACACATCTGTCTCCACCACAAAGATTTTGCTAAAATCAGGAAGAGCTAAAATTGAAATTATAGTCATGGTTTTCTTTAATCTCTCAAAAGCCTGAGTCGTTGCATCTCCCCTGAAGAAGTTGTCTTTCTTCTCGGTTAAGGGCCAAGCGATAGTACTATAATCCCTCACAAATCTTCGATAGTAACCAGTCAGTCTTAGGAAACCCCTCAACTCCCTTAGGTCCCTGGGAAAAAGGTCATTTCTGCATTGCCTCAATTTTTGTTTGGTCAGCCGCCACTCCTTTATGGGACACTACATGTCCCAAGTACTCCACACTAGCCTGGGCGAAGCTATACTTTTTTAGGTTGGCCCTCAGCTGATGTTCCTGTAGAACTCTTAAAATCACCTTCAAGTGCTCCAGATGCTTCACCTCAGTTTTGTTGTACACCTGTATGTCATCAAAAAACACTAGAACAAACTTCCTGAGGTACTGCCGGAACACCCTGTTCATCAACTACTAGAAATTAGCTGAGGCATTAGTAAGCCCAAATGGTATTACCAAAAACTCATAATGCCCCTCGTGTGTTCTGAAAGCGGTCTTTGAAATGTCTGCCTCCCTTATTCAGATCTGATGGTACCTTGATTTCAAATCCAGGTTGGAAAACACCAAGGCCCTATGCAGTTCATCCAAGAGCTCATCAATCACAGGAATAGGGAACTTATCTGGCACTATCCCCTTCTGTAAGGCTCTGTAGTCCACAGAAAACCTCCAACTCCCATTCTTTTACTTAACCAGTAGGACTGGACTAGAGAAAGGACCCACACTTCACCTGATGATCCCAGCCTCTAGCATCTCACAGATCAATTTCTCAATCTCATCCTTCTAAATCTAACAATAATGATACATAAGAACACTAATCGGCGACACCCCTTCCTTCAAAGTAATGGCATGCTCCAGCTCCCTCTGGGGAGGTAGGCCCTAGGAGGTTGAAAAACCTCAATGAAATGTTGTATGAGTGGTCTCTCCCTCCTCCTCCAGTCTGACCCCCTCCAAGAGATGCAACTCCACCAAATATCCTCATCTATGGTCCTGATCAGAAACTTAAGAGGTACTTAAGTCTTAAACAACCCTGCATCACCCTGAATCACCATTCTTTTCCCCCCAACCACCAGTTCCATCCTCAATGTTCCCCAATTAACCTTGATATCTCCCAAGATCTGTAACCACTTCATCCTCAAAAATGACATTAGTGCTTCACAACTCCAAGGGAAGAAAATCATCCCTCACCTGTATCCCCCGAATGCTCAACACCACTCCCCTACAAACTCCCCTATCCATTTCCACCATTCCCATGCCCATCATCACCCCATAGCCCCTTGTATCTACTAATTTCACCCCCAGCATATCAACTTTCTAGGTGGAGATTAAATTATGGGTTGCCCCACTGTCTATCAACACCACCACCTCTCTATCAGTTATCTCTCCCTTCGCTTTCATGGTGCGATTCAAGATGAATCTCCCCACTGAGTTTAGGGAGACTTCTGCCACATCCATGTGTAATTTCTCCTCTTCCTCCACCTCTAACCCACTCTCACCTCCCTCTTCAGCTTCCTCGTCATCACAAACAGTGAGAACCTGAAAAATTTGATCCTTGCACCTATGCCCTCATACTCATCTCCTCCCTAGAAAGTGGTTCTATATGTGACATTTTGTCATCTCCCTCAAGGATCTCCACTTACGGATTCTCCCTCCCCTTAAACGGCTTCGGATTTCCTCCTCTCCCATAGCTTCCAATGGTCTCCATTACTTCCGATGTCACCGGATTTTATTTGTCTTCAAACATCTTCTACAAAATGTCTTCCAAGGTGGCAAAACTTCCATCCATTTTTTCATAGATGGATGCAAACTGCTTCTGAAAATCAGAGGTTTTCACCTTGAAATCTGACTTTAATTGACATATTTCTCCCTCCAACACTTCAACATTCCTTCCGGGCATTGATAACCCTTAGATCGATGGGCTCTGATACAAATTTGATAGGAAGTAGTTACCTCCAAGAAGAAAATATGTTGCCTTCAGACGAAAAATAATAATTGAGCAGCAGCAACTTGAGAAAAACTATAGAAATCTAGAGAAACGATGGATTCCACTAAAGAACAAACAAAAACAGCAACGATACAAGTTTCTTCAATTCGAGAGGAAGACAACTAGAGCCTAAGCACCCAGGAGATCTCAAATTTTTTATTCTAATTCAAGATGATCTTGAAACCCTAACAAGAGAGACTAATTAAAGTAAAAGGAACATTACATAATCCCTAAACAGCCCCTAATTCAAATTTTCCCTCCCAAACAGAGTTGAATTAAGCCTTGGGCCCCACCAAGGCTTCCGCCCCCCTCTGATGTCCGACTCTCCTTGTTTTGGACCAGTGGGTCTAGACAAGAACCGGTCCAGGTAAGGTCTAACAGTGTAATAGTGATCAGCCCTCAAAAGCTGAATGAGTGGCTGTCTCCATAATAGCAAATGGCAGCAACACTTGAATAGTTAATGTATATGAAGATAAGGTTTGAATAGGAGTTCGCATACCATCCCAGGTGGCTGGTACCAATAGTGGCCAGCTTGGCAGTTGCCAAAAAAGTGATCTGAATTCCAAACTTACTAGCATACTGAAATATATCCATGTATGGTGGCAGCATATAATGCACCAAAATTGGTGTCATTGTGGCAGTGCAATTTACCAGGGATGTAAGTATATGGGGTATTTATGAGACTGTATTCATAGATCTCTACTAAAAGATGCTTGTGCTCATGCCTACATTTTAGATTTCAGATACTCAATAGCTTCGAGTTGTCATAGAAACCTTGGATGATATACTCAAGCTTCCTTAAATCATTCCAAAATTTTGGTAAGTTTTCCTCAATAGGAGATAATAATTTCTTAAATTTCTTTTATTTCTTTTTCATAAGTTTGAGTTGAACAAGTAAATAGTTTTCCCAGAGATTTCTATTCTGCAATTGTAGGGTAGTTATGAGTTCTACTACTACTATATTTTCCTTTTTAAATCATCCTACTTAATCACTTAAATTATTATGTCTAATGGTTTCTGCTAAATATTACAATGTAAATCCACTGGGGTGTTTCATAAACTAATCACATTCTCAAAGGTTAATCAAGAAGGAAGAGAGTTACTTAGCACTCCAATCATCAATATTTTAAAATTTTAAGTAACAAAAATAAAAGAAACGCTCCACAAACCTTTAAAGACTTGGCTATAGAAGCCGCATCATGCGTCTCATTATCAGACTTCATATAATTACTGGTGATTTCCTGCAACATATTAGAAAAATACATTGAATTACTTTCTGGAAGAACAATATTGCAGTTCTGATAAGCTAAAAGGCTACTCATAAATGCCAGAACCTTAGGGGGTACAAATGCTGCTGCTCTTTTTCTCCTGTTTTCAGCCGTCTTCTCCGCCTGCTTCTCCAGTTTCTCTTGCCACTTTTTGTCTGATTTCTTTTTGTCGCTCAAGAAATACTCACCACTCTCAAGTTGTAGGTCAATCTGTAACACAATAATTTCAGTAAAAACTCTATTCACAAATTGATCAATCAATTAAACTTATATAAATAACATACCCACTACAAGAAGAAAAAGGAAATGACAAAAGGAATGTTTGAAAAGAAATTTTATGTGAAAAAAGGATTCTTCCATGTGAATATAAAATTCATTAAAATACTCTACCGTCAAACAAATACCCATGACGACTTAATTATATGAAATGAGAAAAACAAAATTCATATTCTGCTAAAATGCATTTAACATAACTTCAAAAATAAACCCACCAGTCCACATGGATGCAACGCACTTTTCAGTTCATAGAATTATCACGCATATGTAAAATGACAAAGGCATCGCAAAACCATTCTTGTTAGCTGACAGAGAACAAGGATTTGAAATATAATAATTTGTATTTAGTTTTTGGTTAGACTCCTGCATAGATTTCAAGGGTGATGTCAGGTAGACATCATCAGCCACTCGTCAACAGACAATGGCACTCTTGAATCTTAAATTAAAATCATACAAATTTAAATTAACTAGTGTGACCAAGTTTTAATAATTTTTCCGAAGTGTTATTAAAAATAAAAATGAACTAGAAACAATAGATACAAAATAGCATATTAGTTGAGAACAAACAATGTCAGATGCTTTCGTGAAGAATTTATAACTAAAACAGGAGAAAAAAATGATAGAACACTAATAATTAGTTTCACTAAAAGCTAAAGAACATGATGAGTGGTATCAGAAGATTTGCAAACATTTGCACTGAATTAGACAATCAGCAAACGTAACACAGTAACCTCATTACAATGATTTTGACAATTATCAAACAAGATTAAGTAATCAAAAATAATAACATAAACCTGACTGCCATGTTCGAGTTAAGGTAGACAATTAATTATTGCTTGGTTGGCTAACAAACTTACAATAAGAGATATCAAATCAACAATTGTCAATTTAAGGAAAAGTGTTTAACGGAGAAGTTTCCATCTTTCAACTAATTCTGTTTTATTCCATGCAACAGAAAAGACAATTAAAAAAAAACATTGGAAGCAATCATTTTACCTTGCTTGGTTGTTGGGGAGGAGGGAAAGGAGTATAAGGTTTCTTCTCCTTGCTCTTGACTTTTCTTTGCTTAACATTCTTCCTGGAAAAACAAATAAATAAGTTTTCGAAAAAGAACTTCAACCTGTGCTTGAAATAAGATTAACAAAGTTCATTACTAAAGAGCCTCCGAGTTTCATACTTCTTGAACTTCGGGAGAAACCTATCCCAATTCTCATTGGCAAGGGCTGGATTTTTGGCAAGTTCACGCTTCATCAAAAGAGTCTGTCTTTGACAATAAAAAATATTCAGCAATAGCAAATGTAATATAACACGGTTTTAATATATATATATATATATATATATATTACAAAATTTCACCTTGATGTGGTAAACAGGATGTTGAGCATTCTGAATGCAATCTTCTACAATCCTCCTGACCTGTTTGAGACCCTTGAATGAACCCATAGCTGCAACTGTATTCCCCTACACATTTAAAGAGTATCAGACACCTCAAAATCACAATCTCATGCAGCGTAACAGATATATAAGATAAAAGAAAAGGTAAAACAATTACCTGGACTAAAACATAGCACCCGGTCAAAATCTCAATGGCCTGAATCACGCATTAGTAAAATAACAGATGAAAATGGAATGCTTGTGCCAAAAGAATTGCATGAACAGGAGTGATTCATATTATGTTAGAAGTTACAACAGCATTCAAAGAAATAACACACCTTTAGTGTGGACAGGTTAGGGCCTAGCAGGCGTTCCCGCCGTCTGACAAAACGTTCCTGCAAGATAAAAGATTCAATGCATATTTTTTCCTTAATTATAAAACTACCTACCTTGTCATGACCTGATAACCCCATCCATCTTCTAAAATGAAATCAATCTATCAATCTATCTAAAATTAATTATTAAAACTGCAATTAAATATGAAACCTTGTGCAAAAAGAACAGAACTGTATATAACCAATACAAAGGGATGCTAATAAACACTTATATGAATATTAATTGGCTGAATAAGAAATTATTTAGCTATTACAAATTCAAGAATTCCAAGCCAGATACAAAATATTCCAATTGTTCTTCATTGTATATTAATATCAAAAAAAAAAATTGGAAAAAGAGAGAAGTCCTGGACTTAGAAGAGATCACATCTTATAAATGTCTTAGTAAATATTAAAAATGACTTTATACTTGGTGAATGAGGTTTCTTTTGTCTTCTCTTCCATCATTACTCAGTATCAATAGTAATATTATTTGGGTCATCCTCCTCCACCAACAATACTTTGGGATTTGTTACTATCGCCATCTTATTCAAGTTTGAATGCAATGCATGTACAACAACATCAAGCCTTTGTCCCACTACGGGAGGTCGGCTACATGAATCCTTTTTCGCCATTGTGTCCGGTTAAAAGTCAAATTCTCATTTAAATCTAATCAAGAAAGGTCATTTCTAATATTTTCTAACCAAGTCTTTTAAGATCTACCTCTACCTTTCTTTAACCTAAGTCAAATCTAATACCTCAACTTTCCTAACCAGGTCATCAGAAGGCCTCCGTTTAATGTGACCAAACCATCTAAGCCGATTCTCTCTAATCTTATCTTCCACTGGAGCTACTCCAACCTTTTCATGTATATGCTCATTTCGTATCCTATCTCAAAGGGTCAAGCCACTCATCCACCTAAGCATCCTCATCTCTGCAACACTTAACTTAGTATTATGCTTCTCTTTTAATGGCCAACATTCGGCATCATAAAGCATTGCAGGTCTCACCACCATCTTATAGAATTTTTCCTTAAGTTTTAGGGGGACTTTTCTATCGCACAATAAGTCCGATGCATTCCTCCACTTCAACCATCCATCTTGAATTCTACTGATAATATCCCCATCAATTTCACCATCACTCTAAACAATAGATCCAAGATATCTAAAACAAGTACTCTTATTAATGACTTGATCGCCCAAATTCACAATCCCCTCACTAGGTCTATTGCTACTAAAATTACACTCCATATATTCAGTTTTAGATCTACTCAAGCGAAAACCTTAAGACTCTAAAGTTGACCTCCATAATTCAAGTTTACCTTCAACTCCCTCTCTAGTCTTATCAACAAGAAGAATATCATCAGCAAAAAGCATACACCAAGGTACGTCCTCTTGCAAATGTCTAGTGAGAACATCCATGACTAAAGCAAAAAGATATGGACTTAAGGCTGATCCTTGATGTAATCCAACTGAAATAGGAAAATATTTGGTCAAACCATCTTGTGTTTGAACACAAGTAATAGCTCCTGCATACATATCTTTAATAAAAAAAAATGATTTGAATATAAGCATTATTAACTCCTTTCTTTTCAAGAACTCTCCATAGCACTTCTCTTGGAACTTTATCATATGATTTCTCTAAATCAATAAACATCATATATATATCCTCCTTATTCTCTCTATATTTCTCCATCAAACCTCTCAATAAATGTATGGCTTCCATACTAGACCTATCTGGCATGAATCCAAATTGATTTTGAGAAACATTAGTATCCCACCGCAACCTACGCTCCATAACTCGTTCTCATAGGTTTAAAGAATGACACATTAACTTAATTCCTCTTTAATTCACACAATCTTGTGCATCACCTTTATTCTTAAAAATAGGAATTAACACACACATTCTCCACTGATCTGGCATCTTTTTAATCTTCAAAACAGTATTAAAAAGTTTAGTAAGCCAAGAAATTCCTTTATCTCCTAAGCATTTCTACATCTCTATTGGAATATCATCAGGTCCAACAGCTTTTCCACACTTCATTTTCTTTAACGTCTCTCTAATTTCGATTTTACTTATAAGCCGATAAAAACAAAAATCTTTATTTTCATTTAAGGTGATGAAGTCACTAAAGTCAATCGTATTTTCACATTCTTCATTAAAAAGTTTAGCAAAATATCTCATCCACCTTTGTTGAATATCATCTTCTAAAAAAAAGTACTTTTTGATCTTCATCCTTAATACACTTCACTTGAACTAAATCCTTACAACTTTTATCTCTTTGTTTGACTAACTTATGCATATATCGTTCTTCCTCTTTAGTATCTAATCTATTATATAAATCATTAAAAGCTAAGCTCTTTGCATTGCAAATAGTTTTCTTAGATTCCTTACGAGCCTCTTTATAGCTTTTTCAATTATCAGAATTTTTATATCTAAACCAATGTTTATAACAATTCTTTTTTTATCTTTTCTTGCACATTTGGATTACACCACCAATTATTTTTACTATTAAAAGATTTTCCCTTCAAAACTCCAAACACACCTTTTCCAATATTCTTAATATCACAAGTCACTTTTTCCCACATAATATTAACATCCTCATGCACAGACAGAATCTTAAGATCTAAAATCTTACTCTCAAAAATACTTTTATTAATATTCTTTAAATGCCCCCATTTAATCCTATAAAATCGTTTTACTTTATTTTTTATTTTTTGTTCATTTATCTTAAAGAAAAAAACTAATAATCGATGTTGGATACATAAAATTTCACTCGGAATAACTTTACAATCTTTGTAATCTAAACGATCTAATTTTGTTATAACAAACTAATCAATCTGCGTTTTACTATATCCATTTTTATAAGTGGTAAGATGCTCATCTCTTTTCTTAAATAAGGTATTAGCTATTAAGAAATCATAAGCTAAAAAAAATCTAATATAATCTTACCACCTTCATTTATCGTTCCAAACCCATGGCCACCATGTATGCTTTTAAAATTATATATCTCTCTACCAACATGCTCATTTAAATCTCCTCCAATAAAAGCTCTATATTCAAGAGGTATATTTTGTATTAATTATTCTAAGTCATTCCAAAATTTTAATTTTGAACTCATATCCAAACCTACTTGAGGAGCATAAGCACTTATAATATTAACAATCTTAGCATCAACAACAAATTTTAAAGCTATAATTCTATCTCTAATTCTATTAATTTTTATAACATTATCCTTAAAACTCTTATCTATAATCACACCTACACCATTTATAGTACGACTTCTACCCGAATACCATAGTTTATATCCTAAACTATTAATCTCCTTAGCTTTCTCACCAACTCATTTAGTTTCCTGAATGCACATAATATTTATCTTCATATGAATCATAATATTTATTAATTCCATTAATTTTCCTGTAAGGGAGCTTATATTCCAAGTTCATATCATAATTTTGATTTCATGGACTAGCTTCTTTGCTCACATCCATCCTTGATGTGGGAACTCTTGCCTATTTAACACTGTACCCGAGCACCGGTGCAGCGACCCTTGCACACTTGACACTGTATTTAAACAATACAGCACGTCGTTTTCAGGGGACGCCCTAACATTAACACAATTTTTTAAAAGATTCCTTTCATGATTATTCGACAAGTTTTACGCTAGCTGTCGACTACCTAACGCAACCCTCCACTTTCTTCATCCAAGACTTGGGACCTGGCCGGCAACGGCAGTGTTAGACACATTCTAGTGGTGCAGCCTATCTTAATCAAGCATCTTCACGGATTGTCTTCCTCAATCTTAAGCACAAGTTTTCTTCATTGATCACCTTTGCAGCTACATGGATTCATCTTCGCCCATCCTCCTAGTTGCATCTTGGAGTCAAAATGTTTATTTGCAAGCCTGTTTTAGTTTTTTTTTTTTTTTTTTCTTCATAGCAATTTCACACTCATCCAGAATCTTCATAGCAGCCGTATACCTTTCAAATTATTTCTTTGCAACAAATACATAGGCTCACAACCTTAATGCTCTTTAGCATTGATCCCCCAACCACCTCAACTCTTAGACCACTATGTTCCCACCACATCCCTAGCATCCCAATCAAATCTTCCAATCTCTTCCGCACTTGTTTCCTTATTTTTCTTCTTTTTCTTATCAAGCTAAAAATTATTACATCTTCATATTTGTTAATCTCATATTTTAAGCTTTCCAAAATTAAATATTGATTTATAATATTAATAATAAGGTCTAGGATTGTATTCATTGGTGAGCTACTCGTCTTAAGTTCTTAGTTCTTTTTATTATATAATAGAGAATGACTCGATAATGACTCAAGAATGACATTGATGCAATAGGTAATGATCCTAATGTGGATGATAATAAGCCATTGCGGAAGTCTGTTATCAAATTTGACAATGTAAATGAAATAGGAGAAGAGGAAATATACATTTTAAATGTTAGTTTTGAAAGTACAGGAGAACATTTTATAGGAGTAGAACTCACTTGTTTGGACAATCCAGGGAAGGCACTCAATCAAGTTTAGAAATAACATTCACGCAACAATGGATGATTTTGGAGGGTGCCATTAAAGAGAGAACATATGCTTGTGGTAACAATGAGCATAGTAGTTAATGTGTTAATTATAATTAATTATACATCATCAATGTGCACATATAGTCACATTTCGTGAGATTATTTTAAAGAGGGCATTGGCGTTGCCCTTTTATAGAATTTTTGACACTACAGATAATGTTGACATAGACAAATATATGACAACTTGCAATAATTGATGAATATTATTATTTACACGTTATTTACAAATGATAATTGTCATACAAGATAAATATTTCTTTGGTCATCAAGCATTTGTTTTTCTTTTTTTATTATTAAGATTTTTATCAACAGGTGTATGATATAACATATGATGCCATCGATAGAAAACAATGTCATTAATTTAATTATATATTAGGAACACCACCATGAACAAGCACCAACCTTTAGTCAGCACCATAGTCTTGGA